GACCATGGATGTAAAGTCATCAGGCAGATTTCAATGGTAATGTTTTTCACATCCACCAATTATAAAGGAGCAAAATTTTATGCTTTGAAGAATTATTATTTTTTTTATCATTTAAAAAATTTTTTTAATAACTATATGATTAGAAGAAGCATTTCATTACAGCTTTAACATATTCAGTAATACACTCCAGAGCAAGAGTACATCTCTTTCACAAGCGGCTGTAAGTTTCTAGGTTCACAGTTGAATTAATACAGTTATACAATATTGAACTCAGTATAAGCGTTACCTGTCATAATTGTTTGCACTCGGATCCTTGGCGCCTGTGTATGTCTATAAAGTCATCGGGTAGATTTTAGTGGTAATGTTTATCACCTCTACTCATTAACATGACGTAAATTTCCATGCTTCCTCCTCAAATATAATACATTTTTAAAAATGTGTTGATTTTTTTTTTGTGTGTGTGTGACTATCACACAGAATATCCCAAACCATCCTATTCAACTGTGCATGCACTTCCCAGATGGCACCCTCCCATAGCCTCCCTCCCCGCACTAGAGCCCTTATACTCTGATGTCCCTACTTCTGTCTGCTGTGTTGTAGGCACCCCAGCCTACAACAACAGGGTCAGCTGTTCCTCATCTATTGACAATCAGTTGTCAATAGTGCTTTAGATAAGATTGGGGTCTGCTGTTCAATTTCCCAGTTCTATGCTGGGCTACTATCTGGGAGTCCCTTTGGCCACCCTGGCCAACAAGTCAAAAGAAGGTATCGCCTGTCTGGCATTGTTGCTTGTTATGTAGCCTTTAGCTATGCATATGGACCCTTAAGAAATTATATTGGCCCCTTTAATCTTTGGTTATACTTTCCTTTTGGGTGTTTAAGGCCATACAGTTGGCCCAGATGAACCAGTTTATTTTTACCCTTTAAGGTCGTTTGAGGATCTGTTCCTCTGGGGTCACATGGGCTTGGGAGGAGCCCCTGGCTCCTTTTTTTTTTTTTTAACCAGTTCCACCTATGTGAAGATAAATCTTGGGCAAAGACCAATTATTCTCAGATAAACCTTACCTAGACATATATTTCTTGATCTGCTATGTATAATTTGTCAGTAGGTTGTAGCAGTAATATGGTCCCTCTGGTTTTCAAAACTAGGCATTATTTATTTCTTTCATTGTGTCACCCCTCCATCATGGTTTTCCCACTTAAGGTGCCCCCATTTTCCCCCTTTCTCCCTTAATAATACCTTTCTCCTACGGTCCTACATCTCTTGACCTCCTTCTTTCCTTTTATCCCCTAGGTTCCTTGTGTGTCCTTCCCTTCCCCTCCCCCCCACCTTAAACTAACCCAATTTTTATCCGTATCTCCCTTGCTAAGGCCTGCTTTCTACTGTTCTTCTCTTTCAGGTTCTTTCTTTTCCTTTACCTCCCTGGTTCCTTTCCATTATCCTGGTTCCTGTAGTTATGTCTGGATACATACTTATCAGGGTTTGGTTCTAGGATCCACATATGAGGAAGAACATATGTTGATTCTTTTTCTGAGTCTGTGTTACTTCACTTAGTATAACAGTTTCTAGTTCCATCTATTTACCTGCAAATTTCATGATTTCATCTTTCTTTACTGCTGAGTAAAATTCCATCATATAAACGAACCACATTTTCATTATCCACTTGTCAATTGAGGGACACTTAGGTTAGTTCCATCTCTTACCTATTGTGAAAAGAGTAGCAACAAACATGGATGTACAAGTGTCTCTGCAATAGGATGAGTTCTTTGGGTATATGCCAAGGAGTGG